AATGTTCGTTTCTCTACCATGAGCCGTCTGCAAAGGCATTTCAGAAAGTTTTGCAGCACATCTAACTGGCCTCACAACCGCAGACCACGTGTAACCACAGCCTAGGACCTCCACATCCTGCATCTTCACCTCCAAGATCGCCTGAGACCAGCCACCCGGACAGCTGCTGCAAAAATCGGTTTGCAAAACCAAAGAATTTCTGCACAAACTGTCAGGAACCGTCTCAGGGAAGCTCATTTGCATGCTTGTTGCCTCATTGGGATCTCGACCTGACTGCAACTTCACACCGCCAAATTTCTCAATTGCTTAAAAACTATAACCAGGCTTTTTAACTAAAATTTCAAAACTATAACTCCATTTTTCAAAAAGCCCTCTCATTTCTGTAAACTCTACACACAAATCCCTTCATTTCACATTGGCTACACCATGTGGTCATTGAGAAAGGACTGACATTTAATATTGTTCACTCAATCAGCACAGGTTGAGCTCAGTTAGCACACAACTACCCAGGTGGAAACACAAACAGTCAAAATTGTCAAACAGTCAAAACACACCAATCAGAACCTTCAATAGATAAATAACAGGGCCAGAGTCAGTTTATCCAGTTTGGAACAATGGATCCAGAGAGATGAAGGAAGAGGGAGAGGACACCAGAGAGAGGGGGAGGAGGACGAGGAGGAAGAGGAGAAGGTGAAGGAAGAGGAACAGTAGGAGTTAGGGCGGAGTTGAAGGGAGGAGGAGGAGAACAAGAATCTCTGGCCTGTCCAAGACCAAAGATGGGACGCTGGGGCAGAATAATTTCTTTTGCTGTGTTCATCATGTGAAAAGGTTTTTGAGGGGGAACCTTAAGCAACATTACTTATAACCGTTTTTTGTAGTATTGTTTTGAATTTATCTCAACATTGTGTAAGACTGTGTTGTAGTGTGTGTTTCTGAGGGCTTGTGTGTGATGTCTGAGGACAAAGTTTGGTTTTTCAGCAAGATTGAATGGTTTTGAGTGGAGAGCTTCATTTTGACCTGAAAATAGGATGTTTGAGGAATTGGGTGAGATGTTTTGTGGGGATTTGTGTTTAGAGTTACGAGACAAAGAGGCATCATTTCAAGAAATGTGTTTAAGCAATCGAGATAAACTGGATTATGTTTATGTTTTATTATTATGTTCAAATGTTAGTCTGAGACCTGTAAGCTTCTCTGTGGGCCCGTGAGACAGTGCACAGACACACACACACACACACACACATACTATAATATCCAGTTGGTGCACAATTGCACATTTTGATAAGTTTTATTATTATGATCACTACTATGTCACTACTATGACTGGTAACTAAGTAACTAAGATACCAGCCTATGGCGTCAATTGTAACATTTCCCTCCTTGTGTTTGAGATTAAACCATGCGTTTTCTGTCTGTGTTGTAGAGGTAACATCTACACCATTAAATAGCACACACATGTAACTACTTTGTGTCACATTTTGAACGCACTGGCTTGAAAGTGCTCCAAGATACTGACAGAAATGTAAAAAATGTTGTAACCATCCCCGGTCTCCCAGTCTGTAATTGAATCAGTTCAGATAATCAATCAATCAAATCAATCAAAAACTTTATTACAGACTCAAGGTCCAAATCTTACCCACAACAATACATAAATACATATCCACAAACGCACATGCATACACACATACCTACACATAAAAAAATCCATAGTAAATCATGGTTATAAATATAAACAAGAATATAAAATTATTTAAAAGAGAATCATTGTTCTACCAGGAGACAATTATACCAGTGTTTCCACATGCAGGATTGGTATCGTGTAGTACTTAGCCGTATGTTAGTTAAGCCCATTATTATTTCATTTTGTGACCCATTAAGTCGGCACATGAATTTAAACATTAGGTTTCTTAAAACAGCATGAAAGGTCCTTACTCGCAGCCACAAACATCTCACTTGCTCTACACCATCTTGGTCTTGTGAGTAATATTCTCATTGCGTCATTATATGCTACTTTAAATTTTAATAGACTTGCCTTTCTATAATTTGACCACAAGTGCGCAGTATAGAACGGTGTGCAATACGCTTTAAACAGAGATATTTTTTACACCAACCGTGCATGCCCTAAATTTACGTAAGAGCATATTGGCTTGTGCATACATCATGCGACATTGCCTATAAATATTTTCATCATCTGTCATTTTATCAGTGATGAAATGGCCATGGTATTTCACCTTATTACAGACACTAAGCTTATTGTTAGCCAGTTTAAAATCAGGATAGTTCAAACATTTATCATCTTTAGTTCTGCAGATCATGGCGACATTCTTATTGGCGATATAATCACTTAACTTAATCGATATCAAGTTCCACACCATATACTGAACAGATTGTAAGAAGCTGCTGTAATCCAGCACTACTTGGGCTAAAAACCACAAGGTCATCTGCATACATAATATGGTTTACTATTGAATTACCAATCATGCACCCAGTATTACAGGCTCTTAATTGCCTGGACCGATCATCCATATAGAGATTAAAAAGAGCAGGTGATAAAATACCCCCTTGTCTGACTCCATTGTTAACCCCAAATAAAGCTGAGACACTGTTGCCCCATTTCATTTGCATAGTCTGGTGGGCATACCAGTAAGCCAAAATTTTCACAATATACTTGGGCACCCCTCTTTGCCTTAATTTGTTAAACAATTTACTATGATTTACATGGTCAAATGCTGCATCATTAAAACACATAAGAACTGATGAGTTTTTATCTCTATATTTGTTCACAATTTCCTTTAGAGCATATATACACAAGTCAGTGCCATGTTTAGCTTTAAACCCAAACTGGTTATCTGTGGTGTTAATAAACTCATTTAATCTGTCCTACAGAATTCTTTCTAGTACCTTTGATAATATGCTTGCTAAAGCAATGGGCCTGTAATTATCTAAACTACCTACCTTCCCAGCTTTGTCCTTAATGACTGGAACTAATAGAACAGCCAACATTGAGTCTGGCAATACACCATGTATCATAAAAACAGTAAAACAAATGGCGAGCAAAGGAGCTATTCCTATACTGGCATTTTTAAGATGTTCAGCAGAAATACAATCCAAACCACTAGCCTTGTTAGCAGAGAGCTTATGTATGGCTTGGTGTGACATAATCACCATTGATTCCCAAGAAGTGTTACTCTCAATGTGTTCTACTTCATACAAATCGGTGTAAATACAGTTGAATAAGGTACTATAGTGTTGTTGCCATAACGCTGTCATGAGCTTCTTTGCCATGGAATCAGTCCTCATGGCCTGCTCATTTTTACATATAAGACGAATGGCATACTTATATCTTCTATTAGTGAGTTTCTTATGTTCAAACACAGGACCTTGTTAACAGATAACTGAAAAGAGATTCAAACAGTTTGTTTGTGTCTGTTTTCACCTGTTGACCTGCCGCTACAAATATGTAACATGATAATCAGCACAATTTATCCTCTGTGGATTAGGATTCACCAAATTTTATGGTAATTTTTCAAATATTTGACAAGATACTTAACACAAAACCAAACTTTATCAATCTTGTGGTGGGACTAGCGGTATGCTCACTGCTGACCTGCGGACCATGAATATTTTGTATCATTCAGTCCAACAATCGATATTAAGATGTTAATCAAGATATTTTCAAATGCATATTAGTTTCATAATTATTTATGTAATTGTTAGGAGATGGTGTTGGGTATAGACGTGAAGAACACAAAAGAGGGAAAAAGAAGTCAGATTATATTGAGAAATAGGGGAAAGGCAGTTGTTAAAGACAGAGGAGGGAAGGGAGAACACGGCAGAGGAGTTTGGGACATAAACAAACTGTCCTTCCAACATTCCCTCTACCAAACTGTCTTTTCACTTTGAAATTCTACAATTGCTGAGTGTATGGAAAAGCACCAATAACTGGGGAAGTTTTGTGCCAATTGTTTCAAGTCTTTTAGACATTGAAGGCTCTCTGCTGTTGAAATATTTTATGTATGACAGTCATATTTTATCGTCTTAGCTTTGCTTTCACTCCCGGCTAACAGGGGAGCAGCCGGTCCACAGGGCCAAAGCAAAATCACTACATTAATAGGGGCTTTGTCACTCATCTTCTCCAAGCCTGCCTGCTCTCTTGAGAAGAGAATACTACTGAGATGTACAGTGCATTTTTATAATAACAACTTTTACAGTTGAAGTAACCAGCTCATTACAATAGTCAGTGCTGTTCCTCCTCTGAGTCAATAAAGAATTCCTTTTACTACCTCTTTATATTATTTTTTATTTCCATGCTCCGTCTCCTTTAGGCAGCCTTACAAGGATGTTGATGAGGATATTGAATATGTGGTAACTGTAGTAGAGAAAGACATCAGGAAACAGGTGAAGAGATTGGAGCTGTAGAGCTCAGTGTCGCGCTACATCCTCTCTGTAGACTTCAGAAAGACGCTGACAGCAAACAAGTGGGGCTGAGAGGTAGCTGGATAGATCCAGAGAGAGATGAGGCGCTGAAGAATACACGATGTCTGTGTAATGTTATTCGACACACAAGTGGATTTCCTTTGTCAAACATGAACATGAACATTCTTTGAAAAAGAGCCCCTAGTGACGGCTGCTACGAGGAAGTCCTCGGGGAGACAATAGCCTTAGGAAGGAGAAAGAAGCAAAACATCTGCCAGAGAGGAAGTGACTTTAATTTACATGTTGATCCCAGAGTTCATTACATAGAAATGCTGCTCCAGATCCATAGTATTGGACCCCCCCCCCCCCCATGCACACCATATCTAATTGTTTAATACAGGATTTTAATCGTTATATTCCCAGGAGAGCTGGCAATTGTGTCTGTGTTGTTTGTAAAATGAAGTAGCCTACACGGGGAGTTTTTCTTCGTTTCTTTAAGGCTGTGCTCTGTTTTTTATATTTGGATGTCTGAAGTGTGTTTTCTAAAGAAAAATGCCTAAAGTCTGATGTTTTTTGTTAAATTGCAGGTACAATGTGGATACCAGGAGCTCCAACCTTTCAAAACATGTAAGCAGCCATTGATAAATCCCATTAATATGCTCCAAAAAGACATGTGAACTGGTATGGAGGACTGAAACTGGCAAGAGGCAATAAAAGTAATCAGACGAGTCAAAAATATAACTGAATACATGAATATAGAATATTGTTGGCTTAATAACTAGACTGTAATGTAAAAGAAAGAAAGCTTTATAGGTTTCCGTTATCTTACAGTCAGTTGGTTAAAAAGAGAAAAGGTATAATTTCACCAAGTAGTTTTGGTGCCTTTGGTGTACAAGGGCTTTTTCAGTAAAGGAGTGTGGATATGATTTGAGAGAAGTTTGTAAGTCGACAGTACTAAAATGCCAAAAAGGGATTAACAGGAGATGTATTTCTATTGCTGGGGTTCTATTATGAAACAATGTAAATATAAATTTAAGAATATTTAACTCAATTATGGTTTTCAAAAGAATGGTTTATGCTGGTTATGCAAAAGCTAGTTTTGAGTGTGAATGATTTTTTTAGCTAGCTCAAAGTGATGAAGTGATGTAGAATGTAGGCAGACATTCTGGCTGTGTCTTAATACATAGACTGTTGACTGAATATATATGTATATATATATAATAACTATATTACTACTTATTTATTCATGTGTTGAGTATTTGCTGCATTTTGCTCCTTAAGCTGGCCTCTGGAGTACTTTGAATTGAGTTGAAATTAAATTTATTGAATTCAATTTCAAATAAAAACAAACTTTGATAGAGTACCTGCAATGTAGAAAGTATAAATAAAATCAAGAGGATAACATGGGTTTTAATTTAAATACAACATGCTACAGTAATTATTAACAGTAATTATTAGGTTGGCAATGAAGGCATTTGACATCAGCTCAGAACTTTTGAAGCTTTGAGTTTTTTTCATTGAATCTTTTCAGATTTTCCTTTAACTTGTGTCTGCCTTTCTTTATTGCATTGCCCACCTGGATGAGCAGAAGGTAGGCTGACATCACATTGTATCCCTTAATTTCATTCTTTCTTCTTATCTTCTGGACATTTCTCGAACTGAGCTGAAATCTTTACACTGTGTCAACGTCCAGCTGGACGACCTTTCATGGTGTTTCTGTGATTGCTTAACTGGTTTATATAAAAATTAAGGAAGTCTCAGTTGTTACATTCAATGTTACATTTTGCGCTACATTTGAATGAAAGCCTGACTACTAAAGTAAATGAGTAAGTGGATGAATGAGAAGCTGCAACAAGAAAATAAAATATCAAAATAAAAAATGGCTCAGTTTAATCTATACAATGAGAATGTAAATGTAAAATTGTACTTTTCATGCAATGACCCCATTAAAGCAAACTTGTAAAAATGGTATTAAAATATCAGTTTCAGTGTAGTCCAGTATTGTTAATGCTGTAATGATGTACAGAGACTTTGTTGTGCAGTATTAACTGTGTGCTGGTCTCCTCTCCTCTGTGAAGGACTTCCTGGGTCAAATGTTCTGTACGCTGGGGGAGATCATCGGCTCGACTGGCAGCAGGCTGGAAAGGACACTCTCGTAAGTACAGCATACCTTCAACGTGACCAGATATCAGATAAGCACCCAGGTCTCTCTGTGAAGTCTGTGCAGGACATTGATCTGAACAAAACATTCTTTAATGTCATACACAATGCAAAAACAGCAGTTCATTTTGTACTATTGTAGATTCATTAATTAGTCACATAATTTGTATTGTATTTTTTAAGTTTGGCATTCAATTCATATTGTGGAACCCCATATAGTAAAACAGAAAGGAATTCAATCAAAACTTGTATCTAGTTACATGAATGAACATAAGAGGGCAGAGTCAATTGAAGTTTTCTAACAACATGACTTTATTGATCAACGTTAACTTCTTTTAACATATCTAATGTACTCATCCATCCATCCATCCATCCATCCATCGTCAACCGCTTATCCTGCGCACAGGGTCGCGGGGTAATGTACTCATTTAAACCCAAAATATGATCTTTTCCTAAATCTAGCCAAGTACTTTTGGTGCCTAAACCTAACCAAACTGCCACCGTTCACAACATTAACCATGTGTTTTTAGCAAGCTGTATTTTGAAGGTAATCATAATATTTATTATTGCTAACTTTACAGCAGAGTCCTGCACATACAAAACGGACGCTAAGGGTTACCTACACCATTATAGTTTGAATCTTCCATGGGTGAAGGTGGTGTGCTTTGTGCATTAGAAGTCCGCTGATATCAACAAGACTATGAGTCCACAGCAGTTACCAAAGTGGGTGGATGACACAAAATATGATCTTTCCAGTTGTTTTATTTTACATTACCAATAACATTTTTTCTGATAAAAAATCATGTTAAAGGTTCAGTGTGTAAGATTCAGTGACATCTAGCTGTGAGATTGTGAATTGCCACTAACTGTCCAGTCTGCCACTGCCCCCTACCCCTTCAAAGAGCGTATGACAGCTACGGTGGCTGACACAGCCCAAATGGTGTCCCTTCTGAGATAGCCGAGAGTTGCCAGTCAAGAAATGAGGTTTCTTTAGGTAGATATTTTAAGGAATTACATTTACTTAACTATTCAGCAAAACCACGTTATTGTGACTTGGCCACTGGAAAATGTAAGCCAAGAGTGTGAAACACTGTTTCTGCACCACAGTCCATTAGGAACCACACATCAGATATAGTTTGGTATATAAATTATGGACCCTCGTCAAAACTGCCCACCAGCAATAATATCTGGCCCTCTGCCTGATTATGGTGCTTTGATAGCAGCAAAATATAAATATAAATAAATACTTTGATAGCGGGGCTGAAATAGATCTCAGTCACGACAGCAACAGTTACTCACATAATATGCTCTTTAGTGGTTTTGCCTACAAAATAAAAGCGCAAGAACGTTTTTGCAGCACTGTTTTATTTTTAATTGAGAGCTTTTACTTTGAAATATTCTGACCGAAATTAAAAGAGTCTGTAGCCTGCTTGAACCACGTCTGAAAGAGCCGTCAGAAAATGTGATTCCCCTAAATATCCTCTGCCTGGAGATACTGGGAACACACACTGCAGCACATGCCATAATGTGAGCCTGAAAAACTGGTTCTTGCCGAATCCATTTGTTGAAGAGAGAAAAAAAAACTGTCCCAAGGTGGGATCAAATTCACATCTTCAAGGTGAGAGTCCTGCAATTTACCAACTGAGCTATGCAAACACTGTGTCAAAGGTATGCAATATTATGTGTTATATTCTCAATCACCATCTAATGGTTGAAATGGCTGCTGTATATTATTACTACTTCTTCTTCTTCTTCTTCGAACGTACGTATTCAACAGTGAAGAGTGTCTGCACTGCATGAATTCTCCCAAAAGTAGAACAAGAAGAACGTAGTGACGAAACGCGCTCTGTAGAGCAGTTTTTCGGTTTTCGGCTTGCTGTAGAAACATGATGATGCAACATGGCGACTACTCTGTGGTTATGTAGATAGAAATGGCTCATTCTAAGGTAATAAAAACATAATACATAATATGTAGGGTCTTTACACTCCACTGAAAACATAGTTATGGATCTTATATTGCATTTCTGTCAAAAGATCCTCAGAAATAGAGTTTCTGTTCAAGTTTCAAGTGCTTGTGGATGCATTATTATGTTGTAGTTCAAGTATCAAAAGTATGGTAAATTTGAGCATGTGGTATCCTGATGTGACTGCTTGCCTTCACCTCAGCTAAAGGTTTAGAGGTGCTGCTGGCCATAGAAAATTAATGGCTCATAAAATAACATTTTTCTTACTTTAAACCTGCAGTGCGAAACATTTGTCTCCGATTCTGGCAGTGAGATAATTACACAAACACTGTGCTTATGACGTCCAGAAATATCCAGCCCTCTGGATGAAATACGTTTCCGCGTGCATGCCGGCAACCTTAATTTGTTTCATTTGTATGTCATTATTGCGACACCTTAAATATAACATTGGAAGAAATACATTTAACCAATTAACGTACTTCATTTTATTTATTGTTTACTTAAAGTTGAATATTTATCTGCAAATCCACATAGAACGATAGCCTGAAACTGCTGAACTCATTCATTCTGATTCTAATAGAATTGGCCAATATTATTTCACTTAAAATTGAAATAACAGAACATATTATATATTATATTATACAAAAAGTTGGAATGCGGTGTAAAATGTAAATAGAAACAAAATGTGATGATTTGCAAAACACTGAAAGCCCATATTTAATTGAAAACAGCACAAAGATAAATTCTCAAATGTTGAAAATGAAATAAGCAAGGCTGTCCCTGAGAAAGACTTTGCCTACTTGCTCCAAAACCTGTATATATTGTTCCGCATTAATGGTGCCTTCACAAATGTGCAGGTTACCCATACCATGTGCACTGATGCACCCCCATGGCGTCACGGATGCTGGCTTTTACACTGTGCACTTATAACAAGCCGGATGGTCCCTCTCCTCTAGCCCGGAGATTGGGGCATCCATGATTTCTAAACAGAATTTAAAATTTTGACTCTTCAGACCACAGGACAGTTTGCCTTTGCCTCAGTCCATCTTACATGAGCTTGGGCCCACAGAAGGTGTCAGGGTTTCTGGAACTGGCTTATGTGCTGTGTCCTCTTTGCATGAGTTTCAACTTGCATTTGTGGATGCAGTGATGAACTGTGTTAACAGAAGTGTTCCTTACATGCAGTGATGTCCTCTACAGGATTTTGTCTTTGATGTTTTTGATGGAGTCAGCTGGGATTGGCTCCAGCCCCCCTGACCCTGTACGCAGGATAAGCGGTTGACGATGGATGGATGGATGTTTTTGATGGAGTGCCGTCTGAGGGCCCGAATATTTTGGCCATCCATTGGTTTTTGGCCTTGACACTTGTGTAAAGAGATTTCTTCTGATACTCTGAATCTTTAACGATATGATGTACTGTAGACAATGAAATACCCAGATTCTTTTCAATTTTGCATTGAGAAACATTATTTTAAAATTGTTGCACTATTTGCCAGGAAGCCTTTCATAGAGTGGTGAACCCCTCCCCAGCTTTACTCAGCTTTTCTGGGATGCTCTTTTTATACCCAATTAATGTAATAACTAATTGATTGTGGGATGTGCCTTTATCTCATCCTTTCCTCTTCAAACAGGAGGTTCTGGACTACAGGCTGAATGTGAAAATGCACAGGCAGCCCCTTCAGATAGCATTAAGGTGTCCTTGAGCGGGGCTTTTACCCTTCAACTGGAGCTCCTCAATGGCCAGTACTGGAAAGCTGTGGTTGTACTGGGAAGCACCAAAGTGTAAATTTGGCCTGCATACTTGAGTACATACATTACGAATTACACTGGTGATATAAAAAGGTTAAAAACAACCCTCTGCCACTCGAGGTATTGTATTTTGCTACCAAATACTACTGTAAGAAAAATGTGACCCAATTCTGATGAAATTGAGTGTCACCTGTCTGTCTTTGATCAATCAGTCATCATCACTCGGCCGCTGACAGCAGGTCTGACAAAGTGGCAGCTTTTCTTCCCACCTTGGAGGGAGCAGAGGAGCGAGCGGTGTGTTTGCCTGAGGCTGACAGCGTCAAACAAGACGAGAGGCTACTATTTCACCAAGCCTTTTGTTTATATGTTTTAAAGGGCTGGAGGGCTTTTACATGTTCTGCCTATAATGAGGCGGTCATCGTGACGGGCTGAGCAGCCACGCGTGTGTGTGTGTGTGTGTGTGTGTTTAAAGCATGTTGGCTTGGTTTGTGAGGTATTATTTCACAACAGACAGGCAGAAAGCAAAGCGAGATTGTCTTTTGTCAGGTTGTCTCTTCTGTTTTATTGGAAACATGAGTGAGTGAATGAAATCCCCATACTGCACACTGTAAACTAATATAATTGATTGGTGTAAACCTTCCGCTAAAATGAAAACATAAACAACCTCAAGGAGAACCCCTCTTTAGAGTCATAAAGCACACACATAATGATCAGCCACCTATAAATCATATTTCCAGTCTGAGACCCTCAGTTGGTCATAGCCATTTGGGCTGCTCTCATTTATCTTTGTTCAAGCCTGCGGGAGCATTCCTTAATTCAGACAGCTTGTCAATGAGAGGGAGAGCCTCTGATGCCCTTGGATGTGTGTGTGTGTGTGTGTGTGTGGTGTGGGGGGGATTATTGGTTGTTGGTCCCATCAACTGAGTCTATGTGAGGGATGTGGGTTGTGTTACTGAGAGGCAAATTGTGTTCCGAGCAGAGAAAGGTTATTGATTGCACGGGACTGCAACCTGGACAGAAGTCACACTCACACAGACAGTCAGATAAATCAAAGCAGCTACAGTGTTCACATCAAACGGAGAAAGAAATGCTTAATGGACAGAGACATGCACAAGTCATATTTGTTCAACGTCAGTAAACAAATTTGACAGTTACATGGCACAAACACTATCATTTAAAAGCTAGACATTAGCAGCGTTTTGACTGATCTCTTACAGTATTTGTAATATAACATCTGATGTTAGGAGTTGTGTGTAATGCCATGCATAACTTAAAACTCTCT